CCACGCTCTGCTCCCTTCCCCAGTTTGACTGCAGTCTCTCAGTCACATGTGGTATTTTTCTATTTAACAGCCCTCAGTGCAGTTCTCATCCACAATTTCTCCAGTCATTGAACATTCACAACATCTTGCAGCACAAGTTTCCACAGTTCGACTGTAAGTTGTGTGACGAACAGTCTCCTATGGAAAGCCTAAGAATTCTGAACAGCTTACCTCTCGCGGTGGAGGCTTAACTGACACTTCTGAGACTGGCGATTTCTCTGTTGGCTGAGACACAAATTCTTCACTCTTTAAGGAAAAAGCAGCTTTAAGTCACAGAACCTTCTCAGAAAACAAAGCTCTAGCTAGGGCCCGTACGGTCCCTTCTTCCCGACTAAGGCTGTTCCCTGCAATGCACCTTTGTCAAAGCTGTACGTTGGCATTTCCATGGTTTCCCCTACGCAGTGTAACAGAGCTATTTGGAATTATTTCTAGCACTTGACACAATATTCTCCTTTAATTTCTGTTGCTGCTTTTATCAGCTTGGACCGATTTAAGGAATTCACTTTAGCCTTATGCTGAGAACCACATGCTCTGGCTTTCTTACTTGAGATATTTTAGCTCTTTTTGTCCTGGAGAATTTGCCCAAGTTGAAAACAAGTCACGTTTAACTGGCTTCTCTGAGCTAAATGTACCTGGATTGAAGTCTGTGTATTTATGTGAATACAGCAACTTAGAAGGTTGTGAGTGCTCCTCTGCTGGAGGCCAGTAACACGGCGTTGCATAACCAGCTGTTTCCACCATCAGGACAAGATGCGCCACAGCAGATCTCTGTACCGGTTCATTGTCTCTTAAGTCAGAGTATGCAACTGTGAGGCTCTCGGGCAAAAACACGCACGCTATGCAGGAATATACACTGCTTCTGTGCAATGGTGTCAAACTGTTTTTTTTCTAGCTTTGGAGAGGTTTGTTCACACACTCTTCCCAAAGATTACAGCACTACGCACTCATTTTCCTACTTGTAAGCTGTATTTTCTAACCTTTCTTCCCTGTACAATGGGGGCAGGATCCACCAGGGGCTCTTGACCTTCAGGAACAGATGTCACGACTTCAGCGGTTTCACCTGTCTACAGAAGAACATATAGTTCAGTACAGTTATAACTTCAGTGCACTTGGAGGATCAAAGAACAAGATTCATGTCACAGTGCTTCATTTTTATAGGGTGTAATGGTTAAACTATTAACCTGAAAGTTTTATTCAAACAACTCACCTTATTTTGTGGAACTGGAACCGATTGGGGCTTTACATCTATTAAGTACAAGGCACGGGAAAGCAGGAGCAGAGAAGGTGGAACGTTCTCTTTTAAATGCAGATCCAGCCACTGTTACAAGAAAAAAGAAGGAAAAGTTGTTTCATATTGGCTCTACGTCAGCACTAATCTATATAGCACTCTTTGTCCTTAAAGATCTTAAAGCTGTCTTGACTTTGGCTAATACAGTTTTAAGTTACCACAATGAGAAGAAATAGTCTTGAAGAGTTACGAATACCATACGGAATACACACTGGAGAGGAAGTTTCCAGGTACCAGTGAGGTACCAACATCGCTACTGACAAACAGCCAACAGCGAAAGCTAAGTGCTTTGAAATATCTACAGCTTATCTGAAATACAGCACCTACAGCAGTATCTGTAATCTGTTTGAATGCTTAAAAAAGTCTAGTGTTGGCTATGCCACAAGTTTTGGCTATTTTAGAAGTTTAAAACATATTCCACCCCCTGGCTTCATCTTGCTTCTAGCTGGCCCTGCTGCTACTTGGTTTTCTCTTTAGTCTAAGACATAATCTGGATGCTTCACGCCTTAAAGCTCAGCTACACAGCATCCCAGAGTGGTGAGGGTGGGAAGGGCCCTCTGGAGCTCCCCCATCCCACCCCCCGCCAGAGCAGGGGCACCTCCAGCAGTGGCACAGGACGGCGTCCAGGCGGGTTTGGGATGGCTCCAGAGGGGGAGACTCCCCCACCTCTCTGGGCAGCCTGTGCCACTGCTCTGCCACCACAGGAACGATGTTCCTCCTCGTGTTAAGCAGGTGAGGGTCCACCTAGAAACACTTGCATGAATTCTTAGTGAAACTGTGCCTGCTCTAACGAACGCTGCCTGCCACTCTGTCCTAGGAGAAACCTCGTCAAACAAGATCAGCGCAGAGCGTACTTGCCTGCCTGAGCTGTTCCTTTAGTTGCTCCTCCGAGAGACCCAATGATCGCATTCCTCTGGCTCTGCATGCGCTCTGCAGTTCAGACACACTTAGGCCATTGACTCCTTCCTTGGCAATCATCTGAAATGAAATGGAATGTTCCTACCTTGGCACAGAGTAAGCCAAAACCCTGATGTACTTGATGAGCTTGAGCCCAAAGAAATGTCTGTTTAGGTAAATCTGCATAAAGGAAGTCATACCAATACAGAGAGGAGACAGAGCTGACTTTGTAGAGAATTCATTCGGTCCTTGAAAGCCGACAGTCTTCAGCTACAGAGCACGAAAAACTTTCATCCTGATTATTTTGTTTTCCCCCCCTCAAGTGCTGAGAATTTCACTTTTACTTGTGATCCTACAGTCTTGAAGAATTCCCTCAAAGGCAGGCGACCCTGAGAGCGGCCAAGATCGCAGGCCTAGAGCTGAACCTGTGGCTAGTTGCACACGCCTGTCAGGACTGGTGACCTCTAAGTAGCAAGAGGTTTTCCGGTCTTTCCTCCATGTTGATAGAGGGTTCTTCACACCATTTCAAATTACAGTTCCTACACAGTTGTAAAATGTAGGCTGGAAGGGACTTCTGGAGGTGCCCAGTCCAACCTCCTGTTCAAAAGAGGGTTAACTTAAAAGTCGCTTTACATTGCTCAGCCTTTTGCATTTATGCTTTGAGTCCCTCTAGGAATGCGGATTTCACAACTTCTAGACAACCTGTTCCACTCTTTACCCACTCACTGATTTTCAATTTTTCTTCTTATCAAGTTGGAATTTCCCTTGCTGCAACTTATGACCATTACCTGTTGTCCTTTCACTACGCACCTCTAAGTCTGGTTCCATTTTCTAAATAACCCCATTAGGCAGTTGAAAACAGCAACAGATTCGCCCTTGGCCTTCTCCAGGCTAAATAAATCCATCCACTTGATAAACTGATAGAAATTCATACTGAATCCAGTTGGTTAAAATCTGGTGTTTCCACCCAGCATTTATTCCAGAAGTGGAACCTCCCCTCTTTACAAGTTAGTATGACTCCAGAATAAAAACATAAGGGTGTTCCAAACAGGGACGGTATCTGCAGTGCCACACTGGTTAGGGCTCACTGAAGCCAGCAAGGGTGCAGGAAGATGAGCTCTCATTCTGCTTTCTTCTGGAATCTCTCCTGGAGAGAATCCGACTGCCATCAATATTAAACTTCACATCTGAGGATGGAGTGTGGGCAGTGACACATGCCTCGTGTAAATCAGGCAGTGATTCAGAGGGTAGAACTTGAGATTGTGAAAAGCGTGCATGCCACCAAAGCAGTTACATCTGTGCTATTTTAAACTTACTTCATCATCTGCCTTGATAGTTCTGAGTCTCAGCAGAAGTTGAAAGCGGAGCAGGTTGTTGGTGCCAATGGGCTGCAGCTCAACCAATTTGCAAAGAGCTACCAACTGCGGCCGTTCCAAGTGTTCCAGGGTCAGCTCATCCTCAAAGAGCTTGGAGAAGCGTACGATCTCTTGGGTACTGGGCTGATGGCCGGTGTGCCGAATCTAAACAAAAAAGAGGCATCAGGGCCAAAAGCCAAACCGAAACAGAATCCCAGTTTGCGAATCCTCCTCCCCCTCTAAGGAGGAAGCCCTTCCAGTTTCTCACGCTGGTATTCCTGTCCCTCAATGGAAACAGAATGATACAGTTAAAAGGCCAAAGTGAAACAGTGTTTTTGAGTGACCACTTAAAGGATTTCACAGGGTAAAACTTCCACTGTTGTTCCAGGATGGAAACGCTCGTCTGTACAGATGGGGTCAAACGCCAGTGTCAGTAGGGCCGTAGCTGCAAGAAGGCATGCAGTTAACAGTAACACCTGACAGGACGGCTCTGAGCTGTCACACCTCTCTGCAATCTTTGTAGAAATCCCGTATTTTCTGCCCCAAACAAACAGCACTAAAGCTGATATAAGTACTATTGCTGTCATCCCCAGCACAGCCCGTTTTACCTGGTGCACGTAAGAAGAGAATTGTTTTCCTTGTCCTGTATCTGCTTTGTTCCTTTTGGCCATCTCTGCAATGGTCTCCTGCAGGAACTTTGCTAACTCCAGCTTTGCATTTAATTTCTTTTTCTGCTTTTCTTCCTTCATTTAGAGAAAAAAAAAAAAACATTATTAGAAATTCCACTTGGAAATCAGGAGGGAGGGGATTCTGGGAAAGAGATGAAATAAGACTCCAGTACTGAAAGCAAATAGGCTTTGTAGAAACTGTCGGCTTTGTAGGTTACTGTAGAAAATGAAATTTTCTGTGCACTTTCTTACTGATCACTGTTTACAGTACAATCTCCACATTGTGCTGTCATTTCTAGGAATAAGCCAGAAATGTCTGACTTAGACGTGTGTGCGAGGCCGATACTCATTGACAGCAGCAGGCAGGAAACAACAGCTCTTCATGCAGTTGCACTGATGTTCTAACGAGCTGGAGTACACGGTCTACACCTTCAGAAAGGACACAAACCTTTTTCGACTCTGTCTCAAACGTCGAGGGCAGCATTTCAGGGAAGAGTTTCAAGAAGACAGGTAACAGAAATTCCATGAAGGGGACAATGACAAACACCAGGAAGGGAACCAGCCGGAAGAGATCCGCGCAAGTTCTCAGCAACTGTACAGAGAAGAGCACAGCAGAAATTATTACTCAATTCAACACCAAAAAAAAAAAAAGTGTTCCAAAGAAGTGTGGAAACGGAGCGGTTAAACATCTTTCATTACAATAAGGCTCTTAATGCATCATTTTAGCCAGGTGTTCGCACGTCTGGCACTTACCCTTCGTCTCTCCCTCCTAGTGAGGACCTGACCATGTAACAGCCTCCACACCATCCTGGCAGCCACCTTAGTGTCAATCCAAAGCAAGTGGAATCCATTGTAATAATGTTTCAGTTCATCCACAATTTTTTGGCGTAAAGACTTTTTTCCCACGGGAGTCTCTATGACTTGTTTTGTTGGTGTTTTAGCAGGCTTAGTACCCTGGTTTACAGTACTTCGGTGGGGCGGAGGTTGATCTCGGAGCTCCTGACGCAAGCAGGCGGACGTGTGAAACGTTCGCGCAACTTTAGCCGGTGAGTGAGGTAGGCCAGCGCCCAACCGTGCGCGGCGCAGCGATGGCTGGTTTTCAGAGTCTCTTACGCAAGTCCGGGTTAAATGAGAATCCACTAGTTGGACAAAAGCAACTGCTGGAGAGTATGGAGGATTGGAGTGCACAAGAAGATGGGAGCCTCTGAAACTGGAGAGGTATTTAAGCAAGTAATAGTGCATTGTGGCTAAGGTACCTAGGCATCACACACACAAACTAATGTTCTCAGTGCCAAATTAATCTTGTGAAATTGATCTTGTGGCTGCCTCAGTAGCCGAGATTCTGATCCTTCAGCATCGGATAAAACATTGAGAATTTGCCCCATGCTAACAGCTTTTCTCTTGGGGGAGAATAACTCAAGAATCCAGACTGCCTCTAGGAAGTCCTTCTACCACATTGCCTAAAACTTGCCAGTTGCAAACAAAAAAAGCCAAAGCCCCTTCCCTCACCAAGCATTTAGAACAGAGTTGTCTGTATTTCCTGCCCCTTCCCTCCCCCAGCAACGTCAGCTGTTAAAGACAGGCTACGCACTGAAGAGAGGCATGCGGTTAGATAGCTTCATCTTTTTTCACGGAAGATCTAAGACCTCACAGACCACTACACATTATGACAACTGCTGAAATCCCTTAGTCTTAGATAAATCAAACTTTGTACTTCTCACAAAGGTGATCTTTTGTAGAAGTCTGGAAAAGTACTCCAGCTTAAAGCATTGATATTACATTGAACACGTACACTAGCAAACATCGGAATGGCACCCGTGACCGTAAATAAGTTGCTAAAGAAAAGCGTTACGATGGCAGGGTGCCTCCTCGCTCCCTTCGGCGTGATCATCCCCAGCCCAGCACAAGGGGAACGCTACGGCACGGGGCGCCCGTGAACATCGATCCACCTCTCACCTCGACCTGGCGACGGCCAGCAGCACGTTACAGCTGGCGAAGGCCATGGTGCCACGCTGTCATCGGCTCTGCCTGGACGTGGGCAGCGGCGGGACCCTCATCTCCGAGAGCAGCGGCCGGGGAGCCTCGGGGCCCGCTGGAGCCCTCCCTGCCGCCGGGCC